AAGTGTCTTAGGCCTTGACCTCCCTCTGACCTCTGGGCCCATATAGCCACAACTGACTGAGACTTCCTGGAGGTCCCCTGGCCTCTCAAACTTGCCATATCCAGTTCAGTCTAGAATAACTCCCCAGACCTCTCTGTTATCTTGGGTCTCTCCCACTGCAGCAAATGGCCTCACTATCCACCTAGCTGCCTGAGCCAGAACCCTGAGTACCAGACTCCTCACTCACTTCCTGCCCCAAACCCACACATGCAACAGGTCCCTCTCAAGGCCTTAAATGTTTTCATTCCTACTTCTTGATTGCCCCTCCTGTCTGTTCATTCTCTGTGCACATGCTGGTTGATGCCCTCAACACTGTGTCCATGAGTCTGGGCATCACCTTTCCTGCTCCCTACCTAGTATGACCACCAAACGTGAATTCTGAGTGCAGGGGACATGAGGTTGGCCACATGTGGTAGGCCTTCCTATAAGCTTGGCTGTATGGAATCAGAGTCCCCACATGGCTAATGGTTAAGAACCCTCAGATCCTTCCAATGCAGTTAGAACCCACCAGTGCCAGAGACTGGGGACACCCAAAAAGCAGGATAAGAACTGGGACTGGTTTGGACAGGCTGGGTCTTTTTGGGTTATATCCCTGGGGACCTAGACAGAGGAGATGCAGGAGTATGCCTGGAGCTATGACTACATAGGCCAAAGATGTTGCTTCATATGTCTGGTGTGGCCTGTAGTGATCCCATTCCCTGTGGAGAATGAGCCACTCATGGTGCTATCCCTGCACCAGGATCTCTTAAGCATGATACAGGACCCTTTGAACCCTAAGTTAGGTGGAGTCCGGGCTTTCTAATTCACTATATCTGCAGAAAGACATTGTCAGGTACTAGGGTTGGGCAAGGGGAAGCTGTCCCTGCAAATTCCATCAAGGCTGAGTCTTCTGCCCAATTGGGGCTTCAGAAACCTTCCAAAGTGGAGTGAAGAGCTGAAGAAAGTTTGAAGCCTCCCTGGGAGGTTTCCCCCACAATGTTTCTAGACAGGCAACAATTTCCTCTGTGAGGCAATGAAAATTAAACCCATTGTAGAGATAAGGGAGCCAAGGCTTAGGGAGGAGGGAGTTACCCAGGGATCAGTGGTGGAGAGCCCAAATCTGAAACACAGAGGTGCCTGGATGGCAGGCTCTGTTGGGGGAAATTCTGCCCTTGACTCCCAGGGCTTCCCTGGGACATTCACAGGCCACCCTAGCTTCCCTGCCAACAGTTGGAGGAGTCTCCCTCTACAGCTGCTCTGAGGGAGAACATCCCCATGCTGGTCTAGCCAAATGAACAGCATTTCCTGACTTTCTGATCCCTAAGATGGTAGCAGACGTCAGAGGAGCAGGAACAGATATGGGTTCAAATCTTCTCTCTGCCATCACTGTGTGGACTGGGCAAGGCCAGTGGTCTCCTGAACTCCCACACCAATGGCTCGCAGGCCAGAGTGGGTGAGATCAGCTGAGATGCCCATGTAGAGGTCCCACAGGATGTGCACACTAGGAGGCTTGTTTCCTTCCCATTGTGATAACTTCCTCTGTGATAAGGAGCCTGGGGTGGCCACAAGCCCCCGTTTCCTTCACAGTCTGTGGGAGGACACTCACAGGAAACCCCTTCCAGAGGGTTTTCTCCTGGCCCTGTGGGAAGGTGGAGCAAAGAGGAGTCACACTGCCCACCGCGGTCCCTGCTCTCACCCTCCCACAGTCCCATCTGGGGCCCCTGAGTCAGCACACGCACTCGATGTTATCGCTACCACTTTCCATGCGGTGCAATCTAGGAATGCCTGCCCATGTCATGGCCTCAGCCTTGATGTCATCTTTCCAGAAGAATGATGTGTGGCTGCCCACGAACCTCACGGTTAAACCCAGGAGCTCTGTCCTTCACAGTGACTTTGATGCCTGTGGGCTACCTGCTAGAATGAACTTCTCCTATGGCTCCTGCTTCTTCTCCTTTTTTTTTCCTTTTAAATATTTTATTTATTTATTCATGAAAAACACAGAGAGGCAGAGACAAAAGCAGAGGGAGAAGCAGACTCCCTGAGGGTAGCCAAATATGGGACTCGATCCCAGGACCCCAGGATCACGCCAAGCCGAAGGCAGATGCTCAACTGCTGAGCCACTCAGGCATCCCTCTTCTCCTTTCCTATTCTCCCAGAACCTTGGCCCTGGCAGTGGCTCACATCTTTAGCACACTCCTAGCCCTCAAAGCTGTTGTGTTGGCCCTTAGCCCTTCTTGGCTAACCCTCTCTGGCCTTAGTGATTGCATGGACATGGACCATTTACATCCAGGTCCGTCTCTTGCACAGGCAGCCTCCAAACCACTGAAACTTCCTGTGGGTCCTTAGACACTGCAAACCTGCCCCTTCATCCCTAGGTCCCCATCTTAGACACCTAGACAGTGGTTCTAACTCTCCTTACTGCACCCTCTGGGGAGGGTGTTGAGTAGATTAATCTCACTTCTCCATGCATGGGGCTACTAAGTACATAAAGGCAGGGCCATGTTTTCCACCATCCCTGTGTCCTCCTCCCCTGCTGGGAACCTAGTAGGTGATCAATAAAAATGAATGAATGACTGAATTACTCCATTATATCATCAAGTCCTCAATAATTCTACTTCCTAAATCTCTCTGGAACCTGCCTCCTCTTCACCATACCTGCTCCTAAAACTTTATCTCTTTGTTCCCCAAACATTCTTCCACTAGTCTGTCCTCTCCCTCTCTCCTACAATCTGACTTGCTCACCTGGCTGTACTTACCCTTTCAGCCTGTGCTGGGAGGTGGCATCTCCCAGGAAGCTATTTGGTCTCCTGTGGACCCCTAAACTGGGAGGTGTTTCCTTGGGATCCCTCAGATCTGAACTTCCCCCATCCCAGCCTGGATCCACACAATGAGATCCAGCGCTATCTCCCCTACCAGGCTGGGAGCCTCCAGGGCCAGATGTGAGGGCCAGTCAGAGGGTCCCATTCATTTCCTTGCCAGCACATGGCCTAGTGTGGATTGGAAGAGTTTGTTGACTAATTGTCTGATCTGTGACGACTCATTTCCAAAAGGAAAATGACCTTCCATCTCAGAGGGTCACGCCAGCTCTGTGCCTTCTTAACTACCAGTTGAGCCATTGCCTATGGCCCTTGCTTTCCACTACCCAGGTTTCAGAACACTGTCTGCCACAGACCTCCACTCTATGACATCTGTATCTAGTGTTCTTCACCTCTTCTGTACCTCCTAGGAGCTCCTTGGAAGGGGCTGAGCAGAGCCCTCATGAAAAAGCAAGAAGAAGGACCAGGGTTTGGATGTGCCATACTCTCACCCCAGCCTGTCAACCTAGGAATGTTTCAGCAGGTTCAGAAGGGCAAGGATGGCATCAAGTTGGGTCCTAGTGGGGTCTGGAGGACATTATGTCTGTCTCCCCTGTGCAAGAGCAGCAATCCTTCTTCCAAGTGAAACTTGCCAGGGCCTCAGACTCGGGCCACAGGACTTAGACTGTGAGTTCTCCATGCTGTCTACTTGAGCCCAGCAGAATATCATCACTTGTATCCTATCCCATCAATCTAGACTAACTCAGGGGCCCCAAAACATCAAACCCAGTTGAGAAGCTTCTCTATATCAGAGGGGTACATGCAGGGGCTCACATGGATGCATCTCATATAAAATAGCCCCCTGACACACATTTAAGTACAGAAATGTACACGTGTGCACCCACACCTCTATGGCCACGAAACTCACAGCATGAGGCAGCAAACACAAACTCGTGCTATCCTCTCCAAACTCCATTGTGAAAATCAAACACTCGTCAGCCTCTCAAGAGCCTGTGGCTTTTTTAGAAGCAGTTCCTGTTCCACAGAAGAGGCCTCTGGACCTGGAGATGTGCTGGGGCAGGGGCCATGTAAAAATTAAGCTTGGAAGACCTTGTTCGAGAAGCCGCTGTTCCCCGAAGCTCCTCGAACCTGCGAGATGTGCCCACTAGGTTGGGGGTGATGCCCCACCCTGCTACCTTCTTCCCGAATGGTGGGGGGATAGCCAGGGGCTACACATAGGAGCACAGTACCTAGCTCACAAGGGTGGTCTGGACTACAGAGAGAGGTGAGATTCACAGAGCTCAAGGGAAGAGTCACTTAGCAAGGTGATACTAGAGCCAGAACTTGAGCTTAGGACCCTCACTACTCCCACTGAGAGCCCCAACTCACCCCTGCAGCTTGGGGGTTGAACACAGCTGTGAAAACTCTGACTATTGCTGTCAGATGGGACCTTACCATGAGGAACACTCTACAGTCCTGCTGGCTGGATGTGATATGTACACACTTGTCATTCTCCCTGCACACAGGGGCTATGCAGCAGAGGTCCTTGATGGGAAGAGCTTGCCACTACTCTGGATCTTTGCTGGGAGCTGTCGCAGGACTATGCCATTTGGCTGGATTCTGCCTAGGTGGACAGTGTACAGGCATGTGAATGTCTTCCTCCTACTCAGATCTCTCACTGTGGCCAGAGGAGAGGGATCTAGGAGGAGAAGGGGAGGCTAGTGTTGGAATGGACCCCAGGGTGGGCACAGCCAGCCCAAAGGCTTTTTGCGATTAGAGGCAGGGTGGAGAGCGTGGGTGTAGGAGCTCGATCTAGTATCTCCCAGGCCCCGCCCTGGCCACTCCAGGCCAGGAAGTCCACACTGTGCCCAGAGGCCCCTCAGAGGGAGGGGCAGCCTCATTGGCCAAACTACCCAGGGAGGGCTGGAGAGTGCTCAACGAGGCAGGCGGATGCACTGCCAATTCTTGGAAGGGCTCATTAATGAAAACCCCTGAGCCTGACCACCTGGAGGAAAGGCTCACCGTTCCCATGTGTGATAAGGGCCAGGAGATTCCACAGGTCAGGTAGTTCCCCCGCCTCTCTGGCGTTTTGTGGTCACCATTAATCATTTCCTCTAACTGTGTATATAAGAGCTCTTTTGCCAGTGAGCCCAGTACTCAGAGAGAAAGGCTAAAGTCCTCAGGAGGATGTGGCTGCAGAACCTGCTTTTCTTGGGCACTGTGGTCTGCAGCATTTCTGCACCCACCCGCTCACCCACCCTTGTCACTCGGCCCTCTCAGCACGTGGATGCCATCCAGGAGGCCCTGAGCCTTTTGAACAACAGTAATGACGTGACTGCTGTGATGGTGAGTGAGGGAGGGACTGCAGGCTGTGCCTGGATTGGTCCTGCCTGTCAGCTTAATAAAACGGTATTTTGCTTTTCTACAGAATAAAGCAGTAAAAGTCGTCTCTGAAGTGTTTGACCCTGAGGTAAGATGCTTCTCTCTGACATGCCTTCCCAGAGACCTCTACCGTGGGGGGGTGGGGTGGCTCCATTTCACATGGACTCTCATAGGGTAGTCAGTCCACTTTCTCCAGTCAGCTGGCTGCCCAGAGGGGCCTCGGGAGGCCACTGGCCTTGCGCCTGTAGCAGTCATGTGAACTCCTTCATTAGCTGAGCAGCCATGGACAGACCTAGCATTCAAGGGGCCAGGGGCCACCAGGGGACAGGGAGGTGAAGTGGGAATTACTTCAAGACACAGGGCTGTGAGCTTGGGGGACTCATGAGACTAATCTCGGTGGAGACAGAGTGTTGGTTACAGAGAGGCACAGAGATTTCAAGAACAAGCCTTGTTCACATAGCAGGTTGGGGGAAATGCCCCACCCCTTGCTACCTTCTCCCTGAATGGTGGGGGTATAGGGACCTCCTCTCCTGGGGGCTGGGACCCTCTTGAGATGCCAGGGAATGTAGTTGTGCTAGCTGAGGGTGGCCTGAGCTGAATGGTGCAGATTCATGTTTGCGTGTATGACTGGACCCAGCATCATCCTGTGCCCCTCCCAAGTTCTGCTCTTGGGGGACAGGGCTGAGAACAGGAAAAAGTGACAGGAAGAGTGTCATATGCCCACCAGAGGGCACCTGTCCACTACTCACCAAGGAATGGACATTCTCCACAGGGGCCAACATGCCTGGAGACCCGCCTACAGCTGTACAAGGAGGGCCTGCAGGGCAGCCTCACCAGCCTCAAGAATCCCTTAACCATGATGGCCAATCACTATAAGCAGCACTGTCCCCCTACCCCGGTGAGTGCCCATGTCAGGTCCTAAAGCTGAAAAGTTTTGGTCTAGGAGGGTGGAGGACTGGATAAGGAGGGACCTTTGGCTGTAGCCGTTAAAGACCCCAAAGGGTTTTGGTGTCAACAGATTTGTAATGATTAGCAGAGCAAGCTTCCCTGCCCATTTTCATCCCTGGGAGTTAAAGCCATGGAGCTCCAGATGCCTATACAGTCCCTAATGGGAGACACTTCTGTCCTATCATTAATGAGGTCAAAGGTGAGGCAAACCCAAGGAAACTAAGGTCCAGGGTACATTCCTGGGCCCAAGTGCCACCTCTCTGGCTCCTTGTGAGGTGCCTAATTGCATGGGGCAAGGAAGGAGTCATACCCAGACTGGACAAAGGCCCCAAACACTCCTTTTCTGTGGAGAGTGAAGTTTGTGGCCTTAACTCCTCCCCCTTCTAGACGGCTGGCCTAAGAGCAAAAGAGGTGTTGACCCAACTGCCCAGCCCAGCAGACCAGCCTCGGGTTGGCATTTTGTCAGTCCCCAGGGCCTGGCTGCTATTAACAGAGTTGTGTACCCTTTGGGTGACACTGGGTGGCAACCTATCATCTGACCTAGGTCAGCAGGCAGGCTCCAAATAGGCCTTCTGGCCTCTGAGTTCTAAGGGGCAGTGCAGAAACCCTGGTGCTCCCCCATTACCCACTCACACCTGGACTCAAAGTTTTATTGTTCTTATTTATTTTTTTAAGGAATCTCCCTGTGCAACCCAGATTATTACCTTCAAAAGTTTCAAAGAGAACCTGAAGGATTTTCTGTTTAACATCCCCTTTGACTGCTGGAAACCAGTCAAGAAGTGAGGCAAGCCAGTCCAACCAGGAGCCAGCCCAGTCCAGCCAGGAGCCAGCCCTGAGAGCATACCTCACAAGTCACTGCCTTTCTACCCATGTATTGCTGAAACTCAGGATCTTTACCTTTGAGGGACCACCGGGTGGACCAGGGCGGTAGAGGGGGCACGGACTTGCTCTGGGCCATGCTGCCCCGGATACCAGCTTGGTATGGGGAGCGGGGAATGTTTTATACTGGCAGGGATCAGTAATATTTATTTATATATTTATGTATTTTAATATTTATTTATTTATTTATTTAAGATCATAATCTGTATTTATTCAAGACATTTTACTATTATAATAAATTATTAAAAGCCTGTTCTTATTTGTGTACTTTCCAGTTTGTTTTCAACCCTGAGCAAATGCTGATGGTGCTCCCCACAGAGGAATGAGTGGAGAGGAGCCATAAGGTTGGGGAGGAGGCAGGGTGCTATAGCAGGTTGGCCACTGTCTGAGAGGCACCAATGGCAGAGCAGAGCAGATGAGTGGGAAGAGTTGGCCTGGGTGCTGCATCACACACACCTAGATCTGCTTCCCTGGATACTCAGGGCTCCAACTGCAAAAAGAGGCTTTCAGGTTCACTTGGAAGTCCAAGGCACCTGGTCAGTGGGAACTTTGCTCCAGTAAAAGGCCATCATACTTCCTGAGAAGGCTTGGGGGTTCCTGGGGCTTGGCTGGCCACTGGCTGAATGGGTCTGCCCTAGTGTGAGGCAAAACACCTGTGCCCTTCAGAAACCTGGGCCCATGGGCAGCCCTGGTGGCGCAGTGGTTTAGCGCCGCCTGCAGCCTGGGATGTGATCCTGGAGACCCAGGATTGAGTCCCACGTCAGGCTCTCTGCATGGAGCCTGCTTCTCCCTCTGCCTGTGTCTCTGCCTCTCTCTCTCTCTCTCTCTCTGTGGTTCTCATGAATAAATAAATAAAATTAAATTAAAAAAAAAAAGAAAAGAAACCTGGGCCCAGTGGCCACACCCTAATCCTCACACCCAGGGCTTCAACCACTCCTAAGGTAAACCAGTAGATAGCTAGCTGTTTAAGCAAAAAAAACAAAAAAACAAACCACAGGGGTCAGAGCCCAGCATATTTACCAAACTTTCCCCTAAATGGGTGATCTTAATCTGTGAGAGTCAGAATCTATATTCAGAATTTGTCAGTACATGGTTCTAGTATGGCATTTTTCTGAGCTGGCTTTTGTTTTTACATGAAGTTCTACATCTAATCAGGTGCCTTCCTCTAAAATCCAAGGCCTTCAGGCCAAGAAATAGCAGTGCTCTGCCCTTCCCTTGCTTTGCCAGCCTGGTTGGAGGCTGTTGTTCCGGAACCTGTTCCTCTGTGTCCCTCCTGGGGACTATGAGGAAATAGGTGTGTCCTCAAGAGTTAGGCATACAGGACAGCAAGGCCAGCCCTCTCCTTCACAGGTGGACCTGAGGAAGCTGGCTTAGTGCAGCTGCTGTTCCTGCCTGGCTCTCTCTTCACCCTACCTACTCTCTCTGCTCTGGCACCTGCAGACAGCACCTGTCCTGGCCAAAGACCTGTCCCAACCATCAGGCATAAAGGTCATGACTCAAAATGTGATTACAAATAAAAATTCTTAGACCAAGCCTGATTTTCAGCAGAGACAAGAATCCATGAAGTGTGCTGTGGTCATAGAAAATGCATAAAAAGCACATCTTGCCCGGCGATAAGGTCCTCTCTGTCTTCCACGTAAGCCAGTGATGACTGATAAGAGATTTAGCATTTCCTTAGACTCACATATATAGGTACCCCTCTCCACAGAAATGCTGCCAAGCCCAGTGCTCATGTTGGCTTGGAGCTACCCTCAAGTACTACCATGTACCTGTACGTGTTCCTGGCTTGCGCACTCTGGGGATCAGAAAACCATTCTGCCTCCATGAAGACAGCCAGCGTGTCTGCCTATGACAATCACACGGCAGTCTGTGCTGAAATTCAGAAAGAACTTTCGGCTGACACCATGACATACAACGTAAGTCTGGGTCTTCATCAAACAACACTTTGCTCTCAGTGGCCCTTTGTGCTTCTGACCAATTTCTCCTACTTTCAGGGTTCCTTCAAAAGGCCCCAGAACACAAGTGAGGTAAGGTGCAGATGCCGCATGGACTTTTCTGACCACCTTTGAAAGGGACCATCACCCCAGTCAACACCCAGGGCAGAGACAAGACCAAAACATACTAGAGTGAGAAATCTGGGAAAAAAGCTGAATTTTGAATTTGCAGCTTTCAGCTCAGCCCACAGAGGAATCAGTGGTCAGTTTCCAGGCTTCTCCAGGGTCTCTGATCACCACCACAGATTAGCCTTGGGCCTGGGGAGAGATTAGACACCTACTGCAGCACTCATATTGCACCTGTGGGACACCTGTGGGACAATCAGGATAGGGCCTGAATTTGAATTCAGGGCTTCATCTAGCCAGAGTGACCAGATGGATGGGCTGGGGGTTAACTGGTGCTCTGCTGTGCACCACCACCATCCCAGGACCCTTAACCCTGTTTCAGGAGCCCTGCTATGGGGAATTTACAAAGGATTTCATCTCTACCCTGAAGGAACTTACGAAACATAACGAGCATGACCGTCACATACAAAAGGTTTATAAGGACATGGAAGAACTCACCAGAATCTGCCCAAAGCTGAAAGTAAGTTGCTGTTTGCTCTTAGAGGAAACTTAACGCTACCACAGCCAGGGGCCCAGAGGAACAAAGGGCTTCTTAGAGCTCCCACTTGCCACATGTGAGGGCTTAGGTACTACTTTCTGATCCAAAAGAAATACACTCACTGACAGGGGCTGGGGCTTAGGAGAGTGGGGACTTAGAGGTTGTTTTGGAGGTTTCTGTTATGCCCTCTGCCAGGTCCCTATACACAGGGGTCAGTGTGGAGCAGGTCTGAGACAGGTCAGAGCAGGGCTGGTTGTGTAATCAGACTGGGGAGAGGAAGGGGCTGCTCAGTGCCAACCCTAACAGGGCAGCCAAGGGAGGTCCGGTTTGCCCTGTCCCACTGGAAACCCACTATGTGTGGATGGGCAGTGGCTCAGGGGGGGCATGTTCTTGGGAAATGACCGAGGTATGCCTCTGTATTTGCCCTCTGCTTATACAGTTCTCCTGTGTGCTCTCATCCTGCTTGTCCTTGTGTCCTGTCCGGGGCAGCTGTGAGACATGCCCACACTTAGCTGTTTTTCTCCCTGTGACTACAGATGGGCCTCAGATCCTGTGTTCCACTATTACCAGATGGCCCCAAGTGTGCTTTTAAGATAGATGAGGAGGGCCTGCCCGAGTTACCTCCTCAGCGATGGAGGGCTTACAGGACCCTTGTGGTTGGTAGAAGAGAGTTTGCTTTACTTTTTTCTGCTAAAAATATGACTTAAGTATGTATTTTTTATTTAGCCAACAGAATCACCCAAGAACTGTACTACTGAGAAAAGTAATTTTTCACAGTTCAAGGAAGCCTTACAGAGTGTTGTCATATCCATAGAAGGATGGAAATCCTGTAAAAGGGTCAAAAGCAGTCTCTGAGACCCCATCTTCTCACTGGAGCCTGGTTAGAGCTGCAAAAAATGGGATTGGAGGAACCTTGGGGAAAATTTGTAGCCAGGGTGGGGTGGGAGTTTGCTGGCTCTGGGCTGGCTGACAAGACTGTGGGTGGGTATGGGGGCAGGGGTGTGCCTGAAGAAATATTTCTGTAACTGATACAACAGCAGCCGCTACTTCAATAAAGCTGGGTATATATAAATGCTGGCGAGTGTGAGTTGTGATAGAGTCCAGTCTCCCAGGGACTTTGAAAGACTGGAAGGGGGCAGGCTGGGATTGGTGGCCCCATAACTAGGACTCCTGACCTGGAGAGCCAGGAATCTCCCAGGAGGAGAGGCCTAGGAGGGCGAGTAGGAGCCCCCCCTCATCAGCTCCTCTGCTGCTCCTCCAGTGCCAGTGGGCACACAATAGGGGCTCCTTCATTGTGCAGCTTGTTACTACCCCTGTGTCCTTCAGAACTCGAAGCAGATCCTTTCCCAGATCTCTCCTCCCCCAGCCTCACTCAGTACCCATCCACCCCTGGATCCAAGAGTCAAGACTCAAGGCTCAAGTCTCTTCCCTGTGTGATCTCCACTCCTGTTTCTGGGGGCTCTAAATCTAATTCATTATTCCCCCTCCTCTGCCTCCTGCTGAGGGCTGGTATGACCACAGAAGGGTCAGTCCTGGTAAATGGCTCAGGGGAGTGTGGACCTGCAGCCTTCTCACAAAGGACTGGGTACAGTGGGGAACCTGGACCAAAAGAGGGGTACCCAGAGGGACGAGGGACATCTCCAACTCCCAGATTTCTAGATCAGCAAATAGCTATCTGACTTCAAAGCAAAGTCCCTTACCTACAAAGCCTCTCACAACACCCTTCAGAGCCCCCTTGGCTTTTATGCTCACTCCCTGACTACTGTTGCTCCTACTCCCCCAGAACATGGGGGCACTGCCTGTGGTAAATCCATCAGTTGCTCTGGTCCTGAAGCGCTGCCAGACTGAGCTACTGAGCTCTGACCCTCTTACCCTCAATTCTAACCCTAACCCTGATTTGATGGGTTTTTTGGAGGTGACAGCCCCCTACAATCCAAACCTCTCAGACCATGAGCTCCTTCACCAAACTGGGAAAGATAAAGACCTTTTGTTCTGGAATATGATTAGGTATCAAGCTGCAACACAATTTGGCTCAGACCAGACCTGTCTGCAACATCTACCTTCTGATGGACCTAGCCTAGCCTTGAAGCTTCGGATTATGCCTGCAGCCAATGCACAGACCTACCATAGCCCTGTCCATTCCGATCCCTTGCTCTACACTTCTCAGACCACTCTCTGCTTATCTCTACCTTGAGAGGTCACATCAGGCTGGAGGCCAGCAAATGTGACTGAGTGGAGTTGCCAAATTATCTCAGAACATGGAGGGTAGCTCTGTGACTCAGGTCTGGGTGTCAAAGCTGATGGGGACAGGAGGATGGTGAAACCCCTGAGGAAGCCCCACAGTGCACTCCCCAGAGGCGTGAGCTCCTGCCCCTTGGGCACCCCACATGGGTGC